AAAAAAAAAAAAAAAAAAAAAAAAATTCTGCAGAGACAACCACCCTAACTCTTTCAGATATTTACTTTCTTATATTTCCTATGCAGATATATAGATACGGCTTTTTTTCCCCACAAATGTTATTAAATTAAATGCATAGCTTTGTCAACGAGTTTTTCTGTTCCTTTATTTAACCACACATCTTAAGGCCTCTCCATACTAATACGAACATATTTACCTCATTCCTAGCTACAAAGTCAATAACATAGGTGTACCACAATTTATTATTCCCATTCTGTGGAGCATATAGGTTATTTCCAGTTTTTCACTATTGCAAAGAGTTACAATGAACATACTATCTATATACATCTTGGCACACTTGAGGCAAGATATGTGGGGGATGATGTCCTACCAATGGAACTACTAGGTCAATTTGTGTGCTCTTTTAAAACTGTGATAGCATTATATGATTTGCCAAAAAGGCTGATTTATACTAATGCATTTATACTCTCATCAAGCAAGTATAAGAATGCCCATTATCCAAATGTGAAGCTGACCATCATACCACCCAGTCTGTCACTTTAACTCAGCACTCCCCCACTGCTTTATGTGGACCTTCATTGCATCAGGTCTCATGGCCCCAAGTCAGCAGTTAACATTGCTCGGGTCAGACCCCTGCTGCTTGTCACTGCTACCCAACAAGGTCCATGCATTCATTCACTCATTCAACAAATACTTTTTTTTTAAGTTTATTAATTTTTGAAAGAGAATAAGAGAAAGAGAGAGAGAGAGAGAGAGAGAGAGAGAAAACAAGTGGAGGAGGGGCAGAGAGAGGGGGGACAGAGGATCTGAAGCAGGCTCTGCACTGAGAGTGGAGAGCTTGATGAGAGGCTCAAACTCATGAACCATGACATCATGACCTGAGCCAAAGTCAGATGCTTAACCGACTAAGCCACCCAGGTGCCCCAATAAATACTTTTTTTAAGTGCTTACTGTTGTCCAGGCACTTGAGCCACACTGTGAAGTAGGCAGTGGTAAAGTTGTTATTGCCATCATACAGACAAAGGCACTGAGGCTTGGAGAAGTTAAGTCTTCACTTCTTTAGGCTTGCTTCGTAAGAAATTCTGGCTCCCAAGCCAGAGCTGTATTCAATTGATTTTTCCCAGCCTATGCCCAATTATTCATTGGACAATAATAATATTAACAGCATTTGGACAAAAGACTTTAATACCCATTACAATAAAGGCTGACATTCATTAGACACTTGTGTGCAAAGCACTGTTCCAGGTGTTTTTATACAATTTGACTTATTTCAGACTCACTCCAACCAAATGAGGAAAAGGAAGTAAAAAGGTAACTCAGGGCATTCTACTGGTAAGTGGAAGAGGAAGGATTTGAACTCGGGCAGTCTGGCTTGAGTCCATGTTCACCACTACAGAATATTCTCATAAAAACACCTCATCATGAGAATTATTCTCATTTTATAGATTCGGCAAATGAGTCTCAGAGAAGCAAAGAGACTCATTCAAGATCACATAGCTTGTCAGTGACAAAGTCCAGCCTTGAATCTAGATCTCTTAACCCCAAACCTTAAAGGATCATCCACTGACACTTTATGGAAGAGTAATTGAGCAGACAAAGCCTCTGTTTAGAAGTTTGAGGCTCCCAGGATGCTGTACCTTATGGGGCTCCAACAGGAGGGTGGGGAGTGGCAGAGAGGAGTGGAGGGTTAGGGAATACAATGGGTTTGTATCAACCAATTAGAGAAGGGCATGCAAATGAACTCCAAGGGCAATTGTAGGTATTGCCTAGTTCCTGAGGCGGTAGTGGGGAGAGGGAGCAGGGGCTTGAAGAGACCAGGCCCCAGGTCTGAGTGCACTAGTAATCTTTCCTTTATGGTACTTGTAGGTTGAAAGTGACAAAAGGCTAGAAACGCGAGGGAAAAAGAAGAGAGAGAAAAGAGAAAAAGAATGAAGAAGGAGAGAGAGAGAGGGAAAGAAATGCAGTCTTCCCATTCAGTCATGAAGACAGATTGGGGATAGGCATCGCTAGTTGGTCCTGGGCTCCAGATCCAGCTCTCCATCTCTGGAGAGTCTCCAGGGTAGCACCCAGTGCCATTCATCTCTGAGTTCCTGCCACCAGCTGCTCACGGAGACTGAATGTATAAGTAATCACCGGGATCGGCCCACATTCCTGTGAATCTTTTCCTCACAGGCTGAACGATTCTCGATCCTGGTTACTCAATACTCGATACTTGATACTCTTCTTGCCCTCTTTGACAGCACCCACTCAAGCCCACCTTTGGGCCTGGAAAGGAAAGGCCAGGCAAGAGCACAAACAGGTTCTGAAAACAGCTTTGAGTTCAGGACAAAGGCATTTGCTTTGTCCTCCCCATGATATTTATCTGGCACCTTGGAGCCAATCCACTCTAAGCTTCTGTTTCCACAGACATTCTCTTTTTCTTAGATTGATAAAGAGATTGTACTTCCTCATTCAGGAGTGAAAACAAAATGTCCCATATTTGAAAAGCAGACTAATGCTCAGCAGAATCACACTTTGCACTTAGCACAAAGTGAAGGTCTGGGATAGGGCCACCAGAGAAAATACAGGATGCCCTGTAAATTTCAATTGCAGATAAACAGCAAACATTTTTTTTAATTAAAAAAAAATTTTAACACTTATTTATTTTTGAGAGAGAGAGAGAGAGAGAGAGAGAGAGAGAGCACGAGTGGGGCAGGGGAGAGAGAGAGGGAGACACAGAATCTGAACAGGTTCCAGGCTCTGAGCTGTCAGCACAGAGCCTGATGTGGGGCTCAAACTCATGGACTGCGAGATCATGACCTGAGCTGAAGTCCAACACTCAATGGACTGAGCCACCCAGGCACCCCAACAGCAAACAATTTTTAATATAAATATATCCCAAATATTATACACGACATATTTATATGTAAAAAAATGCACTTTTTATCTGAAATTCAAATTTAACTGAGCATCTTGTAGTTTTATTTGTGAAATCTGACAACCTTAATCAGGGAAACATCCTTCCCAGGAAGTGTGGGGATGGCCACACCCTAAGGTCTCCCAGGGCCCTGATTTCCTTTGCAGTGTCTTTTCTTCACACTCCTCTCTGTGCTCCATTCTCTCCCTCTGAGGGCCCATGCCTGCCCTGGTCATGGGAGGGAGGTCATTGAAGGAGCTCAGGACTTCTTTCCTCCTGTCTTCCCGTCTTCCCCTCCCCTACTGAGCTGCTATCCACCTGTGCCAAGTGCTGGAACATGAAGGTGAACAAGAGAGTCACGGTCCCTGTTCTTAAGGAGCTGATACCTGAGAGGGAAGAGGGGACCCAGACAGAAACAAGGGTGTATGTAAGAAAATGAAGATAATTTATTAAATGGTAAGTAATATGTAAGTGAAAAAGGATGATGCAATAGAGAGTAGGGAGCACTATAAAGTGGATAATGTGGGAACTCCTCTCTGAGAACATGGCATTGGTGCCAGGACCCAATAATGAGATAGGGGCAGCCATGCAAAGACCTGAGGGTGGAGGGCTCCGGGCCTTGATAAAAAGTTTGGATTTTAATCCATGTGGACTCAGGCTAGTTATTGAATCTCTCTGCTCCTCAGTTTTCTCCTCTGTAAAATGGGGATGTTAATAGTAGCATTTGCCTTACAGTGATGTTATGAGAATTACAAGAATTATTGTAACTAAGGTGCCTAGAAAGGTGCCTGGCAAGTAATCAGCCCTGTGTAAGTATAGCTGACATTGTTACCATGCTGCTGTCAGCACAGAGGGAAGCCCTTGGATGGTTTTAAGCAAGGAGGTAACATGATTTGACCTACATTTTCAAAAGGTCGCTC